CCTGCCTCAGCCTCTCGAGTGCTGGGATTACAGGTGTGCGCCACCACATCCGGCTGAAATAGAGTCTTGCTATATAGTGCAGGCTGGTCTTGAACTCACTTGGTAGCCCAGGCTGGTCTCACACTCATGATCTTCCTGCCTCAGTCTCCGGAGTGCTGGGATTATAGGTGCGCACCACCATGCCCGGCTTCTGGGTATCCTATTTCTAATCTGTTAAGATCCTTTCCAGCCCCTGCCCTGCCCTCCAGACTCACCTATGAGCTGCCTCTAGCTGCCACCTGTCCTGTTTGGTGAGTGCCATTTACATCCTCCCCACACCTGGTGTCTGAGCCCCATGGCTGCACAGATCCGAGGGTGTATGCAGTCAGTGGTGCTAAAAGCAGGAATGCGAATGCAGAAGGAGAGCATTTTGTAAACTGTAAAATTCCTGCTGTGGCTGCTCCCGGGTCTCCAGTTCCCGGCCCTTCCGTTTAGCAGGGCTTTAGGTGGCAGGCGGCCCTGCACGGCACTTTAGGCTGTGACATCGCTCGAGCTCCGGCTGGCATGGGGGCCAACCACAGGCTGAGCTCCCAGAATCTTTTGCTCAAATGGCTCCAAGCCTTCTTTCCTAGGAATGAGGTCTGAGGGCTGGGGATATAGTTCAGTGGCACAAGTGCCTGCCTGGCAAGTGCAAGGTCATGAGTTCGATTCCTGATACAAAAAAAAAAAAAAAAAAAAAAGGAATGAGGTCTGAGCTGAGGCCAAGGGGTGTGACAGAGGTGGGATGTGTGGTCACAGATGTCTATGTGTAACGCGCCAGACTGTAGCCCTTCTCCAGCCCCTGCCCGTGGGTGTGACCTGTACTGAGCCAAAGATGGAGCTTTCAGGGACTGCTCAGCCCCAGGAGACAGTCGAACACACACTCACCGCTTCCTGGGTGGCCCACATCCAGTGACGGATCCAAATGTGGGTACAAACACCTGGGCACCTGGGCCCAGGGCCAGACAGCCTCGATGGTCCTTTTAGCTCCAGACCTCCCTGTGGGATCGCGGAAGGCTGTCACTGGGCTGTGACATACCTCAGCTTCTCGGCACAGCCGTGATCTGTGTCGGTGACTGGGGTTTTGATGGGGACACCAGGCAGTTTCTGGCTTAAACCTTGGGTCAGGACACTCCTTTGAGCTAAGCCGCCATCTTTCACTTTATTGGACAGAATCACTGCTCTGTAGAGCCAGCTGCTTCCCCAGGTCCCCAGCAAAAAGGCTCATGCCTTCCTCGCTCCTGCCCCACGGGGAAGGGACAGTTTCACAGAGCTTCTCTTTCACAACACTGTCACCCTGCAGACTGATATTTTTTCTCATGCGACTGCCTTGTCTATTCACCCAGGCCAAATTTCTGTTTTTATTAATCCTTTGGAGAATGACAGCTTGGAATTTCCACTTTAAAAGAGTAGATTCTAGCTTGTCTTCTGGTCAGGTTTCTGGTGAGTCATCTTCCTCCTGTGTCTCCCCTGGGGCTGGCCTGCAGGAGGTCTTCATGTGGCCACCCTGGAGCTTAGTTTTGCTTTGTTTTGTTTTATTTTGTTTTGAGACGGTGTTTCTATGTAGTCCAGGCTGGTCTTGAACTCACTATGTAGCCTTGGCTGGCCTCAAACTCACAGAGATCCTCCTGTCTCAGCCTCCTGAGTGCTAGGAACACAGGCATACTTGGCCCTTCTTGCTGTTGTGGAGGTGCCTGTCCCTCTGCTACTTGAATGGGAAGACTGGGCTGGGGTTGCCAGGGCCCTGCCAGCCTCAGCCCGAGCTGGGCTCCCCGCAACCTTCCAAGGGATGAGCGATCCCATAGGAGTCAACGGCTCAACCCAGGCCCACTCAGAGCTTCGAGAACCATCTGGGCTCCCCAGAGAGGGAGGCAGAAGTCAGGCCCGGCCCCACGGGGCCCCACTGGGGACCCAGGCGTCACCAGAGGCCCCAGTGGCAGTGACATTCAGCTGCATGGTTGCTTGGACGGGGCAGCAGCTCTCTGATGAGATGCAGTTGGCGCCAGAGTGTGGGACAAGGGACAGGCTGGCAGGGAATCAGAGCGGCCCTTCAGCTTCGGGCTCCAGCCTTCCGCTGGTGACACGTAAGAGGATTAGGGCTCAGAACTTCAGACAAGGGGCTTTTGTTCTCAGGGCCGCGTTCTCATTCGGCTGCAAAGCCCCAGAGATGGGAGCAGGAGGAGAGAGGGACCTCCTGTCCCGCACCCTCCACGCTCGGTGCTTCGGGGAGCACACAAAGCCCCAACCCCACGAGCGGCGGTGCGGGACATCCAGCCCCTACCAGATCTGCCTGACGCTGGAGCTCAGGGCCCGGGGACGTCTGCACCACCAAGACCTGTGTCACCAGCAGTGGCTTACTGGGGAATCCGAGTCCTCAGATGCCAGGTGGGAAGGAGGTGAAAGAATGTCTATGAGGGGAAACTGAGGCGCAGAGTGATGTGACCAGTGTTCCCTGGGGAGGGGAGCGCCCAAGCTGGGGCTGGAATGAGAAACTCAAGTCAGTGGCTGCCTGGCCGTCTGCCTCACCCTCCACAAGGCCTGAGGTGGATTTATTTCCACCGGATTTTCCTGGCGCTAGAGCCTCTTGTAACGGGAATCAGCGTGTGCTTGTTGGCTAAGACTTGCTTTCGGCACAGTTGTTCGGGGTTTTGAAGGTATCACTAGCTTGTTCCTTGTCGTTGCTCAGTATATCCCACAGTTTATTCACAAGCTGACGGGCATTTGTTTCCACTGTTGTTGGTTTTTGAGATAGTGTCTCGCTATGTAGTCCAAGCTGGCTTCAACTCACAGCAATCCTCCTCGTTAAGTGTCCTGAGTGCTGAGATTACAGGCGTGTGCCACCACGCCTGGCTTGTTTCCTTTTTGTCCTTTTCAAAATCTGTAGCAGGTGTGGTGTTGCATGCCTGCAATCTCAGTACGTGGGAAGCTGGGGCAAGAGCCCGGGCAGGCGACTGGACCCTGACAAGGGAAACGGTCAGTGGTGATGAGGGTAGCCTGGTGAAAGGATCACGGGAATGAGAATGGAACGGGAATCACAGGCCTCCTGGTGAAGTCTGAGTCTCTCCTGGGGTCTCTGCTGGTGGCCAGGGCTGCAACACAGCCCTTGCCCAAATACCCGAAGCTCTGCAGCTCCCTGCACCTGTCCCGCTCTGGCCTCTGCCCCTAATCTCTAACCCATCCTTGGAGCCTGGGCAGATGATGCCAAGGGCTCACAGTGGGGAAGGGCTTTACAGGTACATACTATGAAACATGGGCTTCTCCTCCCTGGCTGAGGAGCTGCTGCCAATGTGAGTGACAGCCACTACCTGGACCAGGAAGTTCATGGCCAACGGACTACTTCAAAGCAAACAAGTGGTCGCTGTGTCCTTCGCCCTGGGAAAGCAACAGTGTCTAAGACAGAAATTCAGGAAAAGTGTACAAGACCACATCAGATACCATTTTTGTATTGGATTTAGGATCCACTTTGGTGGTGACAAGACAACTAGCCTTGGCATGGTTTATGATTCCTTAGATTATGCAAAGAAAAATGAACCTGAACATAGATTTGCAAGACATGGCGTGTATGAGAAGGAAAGGACCTCAAGAAAACAGCAAAAAGTGCCAGGCATGGTGGTGCACACCTGTAATCCCAGCACTCAGGAGGCTGAGGTAGGAGGATCGCTGCAAGTTTGAGACCAGCCAGAGCTACATACTGAGTTTGAGGCCAGCCTGAACTGCACAGTGAGACCTTGTCTCAAAAACCAAACCTTGGGGCTGGAGATTTAGCTCAGCGGCACAGTGCCTGCCTGGCAAGCGCAAGGTCAATTCCCGGTACTGGAAAAAAACCAAAAAAACAAAACAAAACAAAAAAAAACAACCTTGCCTGGCAAGCTTGAGGTCCTGAGTTCAATTCCCAGTACCAAAACCAAACAAACAAAAACAAACAAAGTACCAATAAAAAAGAAAAAGAAACAAGCCAAAGGAACAGAATGAAGAAAGGGAAACTGCAAAGGTGCTGGCAAAAAGTGAGCTGGAGATTAGAAAACAGTGGGAAAAAGTAGACTCTGCAATGACTGCAGAGACGGTGAGAGCTTTTCACAAGAGAATCAATAAACTACAAAAACTTCAAAATATATACATATATCAGGCTGGTGAGATAGCCCCATGGTGCAATCCTTACCTTGCATGTGCAAGGCCCTGGTTCTGCCACAGTACCAAACACACCCCCACTCATACACACACACACACGCACACGCACACGCACGCCCGCTCTCACGGGCCCCCAGAGCCCGAGGGCAGCTGCAGGCCCACCTGCCTGTGTGATGCCTCTGCCCTCGGCCCGACTTCCGCAGAACCTATTCACTGCTGTCTCTCTCAAGGTCTCCTCCACCCCTGCCTTCCTGTCCACACAAAGCCACCCATTTTTTTCAGGACTGAGGAGGCCATTGAGATTTTAAACAGTGGCTTCTCTTCTGTCCAAGGCCCAGAAGGGCAGCCCAGACTGAACACTGCTTTATCTGAGCCTGGTGTCCAGCCCTGCACTCCCTTAGTCGGAAGCTGGGCAGGGCCCAGGCAGGCTAGGCCGGGCTTCCGCACGGGGTTAGGGCAGGCAATTCATCCTATGGGTAGGGAGAGGCCTACCTCGCCTTGGTGTGGTGCCCTGGGGACTCAGCTCGGAGGTCAGCCAGCCTCCCAGAGCACAAGGGCTCAGTTATAACTGGGCCTTTTCTCCTTCAGGCCCTGAAAAAATTTTTTTCTTTTTTTGAGACAGGGTCTCCCTATGTAGTTCAGGCTGGCCTTGAACTCACTTTGTAGCCCAGGGTGGTCTCGAACTTGCAATGATCCTCTTGCTTCAGCCTCCCGAGTGCTGGGATTACAGGCGTGCACCACTACGCCCAGCTTTTTTTTTTTGTACCAGGAATCGAACTCATGACAATGCACTTGCCAGGCAGGCGCTGTGCCGCTGTGCTGCTGAGCTGCTGAGCTATATCCCCGGCCCCAGGTCCTGGAAATTGAACCCAGTGTTGAGATTCCAGGCCTGCACCACCACACCTCGCTCAGTTTGGGCCTTCAGTGTCCCCAAATGCTCACCTGCTGAAAGCTCGGTCTGCAGCTGGCACAACTGGGAAGCCACAGAAATGTCAGGGTGGGCCCAGGTGGAGGAGGAAGGCCCTTGGGGGTCCTTGAAGGACACACTGGGGTCGTGGCCGCTTCTCTCTCTGCCTCCTGGTGGCTGTAGATTGAGCAGCTTTGCTCCCTGCCTTGATGTTTCGGCCTCACCTGGGCCACGAAGCAATGCAGCCGCTGACCATGGCTGAAACAAAAATCTTCCCTTTTACACTGATTTCCTCCAGGGTTTTGCCATAGCCGGGGAGGCTGATTGATATAGGCACCTGGAGACCCCTGCATGAGTCCCGCCTCCTCCATGCACACACGGGCCGGGACGCTTCCTCTCCTGCTGGGGACACCATCTCACTGGCCCCTTTGACCTCTCCCACTCCCTGTGTGCTCAGCTCCTTACCCCAAATGTGAGGTTCAGAATCCCTGAGGTCTTTGGGGTACAGGCATCAGCACTACTGGGGTAGACCTTTTGTCTGTACTAGGAATTGAACACGGGGCCTTTACTCTGAGCTACATCCCTGGCCCTTTTAAATTTTTTTATTTTGAGACAGGGTCTCACTAAGTCACTAAGTTGCCCAGGCGAGGCTTGAACTTGTGATCCTCCTGCCTCAGCCTCTTAAGTGTCAGGATTACAGGTGTGTGCTACCCAGCCCAGCAAGAGGAGTTTGGGATAAATACCTGTGAAAGGAAGACAAAGCAGGACTGGACAGAGGGAGAACTTGAATGGTGACGAGAACTCAATAAACTTGTGTGCACTCGAGCCAGTGCAGTCACCAGAGTATCCCACTGAGGACAGACACACGTGTCCCTTAAAGGCCGCCCTGGGGAGGGTGTGTTTCAGGTGAGGCACCACAGGTGGCCCGAGCGGACCCTGGAGGAACGGAGAGCTGGGGAGGCCTCGCAGAGTGGGGACTGAAGGAGGTGAGGAAGCCAGGCCTGCAGACATCTGGGAAGCTCTCACAGACACCCAGGGCAGAAGCACAGCGATGTGTGGTGGCGTCCGAGGTCTTGAGTTGTCACCAGGAAGCCGGGTCCTGACGCGGCGGGGGGCCAGCCCCTCCCCGCCTCCGTCCTCGGTTCCTCGTGCCCTGGAAGGAGGACTCAGTCAGGACACACAGGCCGTGCAGGCGTCTAGGTAGAGCTGACTGCGAGGCGGGTACCGAGACCGCACCTTCCAGCGAGAAGGCGGGCAGTGCAGGAAGGCGTCTGCCCGTGCGAGTTTGCTCAGGTTTTTACGCTCACAGAAGTGACTCCTGGGTCCGGGAGCTGGAGTGACGCGATGCTGGGCCACATTTACTCCGAGGTCACTGCGGAGCTGCAGAACGTCTTCCTGCCCTTTGCAGGTAGTCAGTGTTCCCTGAGGGGCTTCAGCTGCATCTGAAACTCACAGAAGTTCTTAAGAAAGCAGGCCCCGCCCGGGGCGGGAGGGTCTCTGCGTAGCACCTCCTTCCTGACGTCTCTGGGCTGTGGCTGGGCCTTGTTCTGCAGCTGGATGGCCCGTGCCCAGGGGTCAGAGGAATGTGTGCCGTGTGCCACCGTAAGACGTCACTCTGCCCCGTGGACCGCTTCAGGTCTGAGACCTAAGAAAAGATTGAAATGCACTGAACACTGATGTCCTTATTTCTTTACCCAACTGGCAACGTAGGCTATTTTGGGCCCCTTCCTTGTCCCCACTAGAGTCCAGCTGCTGCCTGATATAGAGTGGATGGACGAGGACAGGACCAGTACTCACAGCAGCTGGCTCCACAGGGCCTGGTGAGGACCTTTCCTTTTAGTCTGGAAAAGAGGGTACGTCCTTAGGGAAGAGGGTACACCCAGACAAAGAGTTCCCAGGGCTTCCTTAGAGGCCGGGCAGAGGCCAGCAGGGGCAGCTGGCGGCCTGGGGGACTGCCCAAATGCCTGCCTGGCCTCTGCCTGGGGGACCCTGGCAGCATTCGTCGGGGCCTGCTGCCCTCTGGTGGGCATCCAGAGATGATGCAACCTCCAGCCAAGGGTTTTTCTTTTACCTGGAGTCTGTGTGTTCTGTGGGTTCTGCCTCAACTCCAGGTTATGAAAACTCTTGTCACAGATGGCAGAGGTGACAGCTGATGCTCAGGAGAAAATAACTCATCGATCCAGAGACAGGAAGGCAAAGGGAACATATGATGCTGACATAGCAAAGTCGGGCTGGGCAGGGCCCCGAGACGTTTTTAACGGAGATGGTTGGGCCAGGGATATAGTTCTGGGGCACAGCGCCTGCCTGGCAAGCACAAAGTCCTGAGTTCGATTCCCAGTGCCAAAAAACCCCCAAACAAACAAACAAACAAAAGCAAACAGTGATGGTCACTAGCATCCAGAAGGAGGGCTGAAGGAAGTGTCCTGCTAGAGTCCTAGGTGGAGCGTGACGGAGAGCTCTGAGTCGAGGATACAGTCTCGAGTTTGTGCTAGGGAGGAAGGCAGTGGAGCTAGAGGCCCAACTACTGGAAAGAAAGTGGACGTGATGAAGACCTGCAGGTCAAAATGGAACTGGAATCTAGGAGTGGTGGCAGAGGACTGTAATCTCGACTTTTAAGGAGGCTGAGGCAAAAGGATCACAAGTTCAAGGCCAGCCTGGGCAACATAGCAATACTTTACCCCAGATACAATTAAAAATAAGGACATGAAGCCAGATATGGTGGCACACGCCTGTAATCCTAGTACTCAGGAGGCTGAGGCAGGGGAATTGCTGTAAGTTTGAGGCCAGCCTGGGTTACAAAGTGTGTTTAAGATCAGCCTGCACTACAAAGCAAAACCCCTGTCTCAAGACAAAACAAAACCTATGAAAAAAAAAAAAAGCCTGTGGATATAGCTCAGTGATAAAGTACCCCTGGTGTTGATCTCCAATATACGCTCCCCCCAAAAAGGGACTGTATTATGAATGCTAAATTGGCTTTATTGCCTTCACGGTAAATTCATCTCTGCCTATAACCTAAAAATTACACTCCAGATACGTATCCTAGAGGAAGTCTTTCCGAGTCTGCTCCAAAGGCAGCTAATAGGAAGAAAACGAGACTGATACTGTGACTTCAACATCGTGTCCCTCAAAGACTCACGTATTGTCTGATTCCCAGTGCAGCAGTGTTCAGCGGTGTTCTGAGAGGCCTGACCTCATCAAGGCATTAACTGATGCATTCATAGCTGAGATGATTATTAGAGCCAGGAGTGACGATGTATACCTGTGATTGCAGAACTTGAGAGGCAGAGGCAGAAGATCACAAGTTTGAATTCAGCTAAAAGTCTGGGCAACTCAGTACTGTAACTTAGTGAGACACTGTCTCAAAATTTAAAAGGACTGGGAATGTAGCTCAATGCAAAGGCCTTGGGTTCAATCCCTAGTACTAAAAAAAGAAGTACAGCTGGGAGAGGGGATGTTTGGTAGTTGGTGGCCTGGGCAATGCAAATGTTTTGTGTTCAACACAATTATGGAGTGGCCTAGTTTTGTCTTGATCTATTACAATCAGTCTGGTGTTGATGTGTTTGGAAACTGTTCGTGTTCAACAGGAGAACACCAGGCCAGCTCCCAGGGAAGCCAGGGCCGCTTTTTTCTTTCTCATCTGTCAGTAAGCATGAAGCATCCCAGTGTTGTGTGGGGATCTAAGTGACTTTGACAGAGAAGCAGCCTTGATTTCCATTCCACACGACGAGCTTTAGATGAGAGACTTCATTCCACGACTGCCTACTTTAACCTTGTAGTTGCCATAGAAACAGCAGGCTGGATCCACTTTGCAGGTCAGATATTGACCCTCTACACACCACTGTACTTTTTTGTTATTTGTTTGATGCAAAGTCTCACTAGAGGCTCAGGGTGGCCTTAACTCTCCATCATCCTCCACCACCTCCCAGAGCTGTGATTACAGACATGGGCCACCATATTTGGCAGCTGTGCTTTATTTTGAGCCTTTATAAAAACAACCCTTCATTCTTTTTTTTTTTTTTTTTTTTTTTGAGACAGCGTTTTGCTATGCAGTTTAGGCTGGCTGTGGACTCACTTTGTAGCCCAGGCTAGTCTCGAACTCGCAGCAATCCTCCTGCCTCAGCCTCCCCAAGTGCTGGGATTACAGGCGTATGCCACCATGCCCGGCCCTTCATTTCAATTTTACCCTATTACAACTCTCTTTTCCTTCAGACACAACCCTAAGCTCCACGTGTGCTACCTTCTTCACCGAAATGAATCAACAAACTTGACTTTGGTGGAATTACAGATTTGTCTTTGGTGATCTGGGACTGCCTGAGCTTTCTAAAACTATGTTATGGAAAGAATAAAAACAAAGAAAGTGTAGCGTTGAAAAAAGAATAGTTACGAGTGGTGGCACACACCTGTAATCCCAGCACTCAGGAGCCTAGGACAGGAGGATCGCCGGGAGTTTGAGGCCAGCCTGGGCCTCATATAGTGAGTTCAAGGACACTGTCTTAAAAAAAAAGAAAAAAAAAAAAAGGGAGTTTGAGAGTTAAATAAAACGCTCAGGGAAAGCCCAGGGGAGAGACAGGTAAGGCACTTCAATCATCATTCTTTTTTGGAGGCTTGTCCTGACATTTCTGTAACTCTGCAACCTATCTCCTCCCATCGTTACTCCCGCCTCCTGCTTTTGCTTTTCCCCATCGACCTTTTCATGATACAAAGCCATGTTTAGTGTGTATGTCGTTCGTTTTTGCTTTTTGTGAGGGTGGGAATCTTTCCTCCATGTCCAACGACATGGCCCAGGCTCCTAACACTGGGGCACACAGCAGGCGCTCGACAACCATACGTGGAAAGAGCGAGGCCAAGAGAAGGAAGAGAATCGACCATACGAGCCACCAGGGAACTACCGAAATCGGCCGCACCACCCAACCCTGTCCCTACCACGGGCTCAGGCACGCTCTCACGCGTGCGCCGCAACAGCCGCCTGATTGGCTGCGGCCTCTGGAGTCCCTGCAGGGAGGGGTAATTTGATGGCTTCCGGGGGAGAAGCCGCCTGATTGGCTGCGGCCGTGGAGTTGCGCATGCGCACTACGTGGCGCGAAGCTGGTAGCGAATAACTCTCCACCCTTCCTTGGACCCGCAGCAGCCCACCTTCTCCTCAACCACGCTTATTTCCTCGGCGTTCGAAATGTTCCCAGAACTCAATAACCTTCTCAACATCACTCCTGACAAGGTGGAACAGGTAAACTGTCGCGGGACCTGGAAGGGGGCGGGTCCCGGGAGCGTGGCGGAGGACACATCCAGGAAGCAGCGCGCACGGGCTGTCGGGAGAGTACGGTGGCCGCGAGCCTCAGGCGGCTGGGAGGTGCTGTGCGGGGATGCTGTTCAGCCTGGGCCAGGGAAAGGGAATCCGGGCCGTCTCGCGTGTTTTTATTTTATTTTATTTTTTGTCTTTCTGAGGCAGGGTCTCGCTATGCAGTTCAGGCTGGCCTTGAGCTCACTTTGTAGTCCAGGCTGATCTCGAACTCGAAAGGATCCTCCTGCTTCAGCCTCCTGAGTGCTGGGATTACAGGCGTGCGCCACCACGCCGGGCTCTCGCGTGTTCTTAAAGGCCGTGAGTGCCCTTAAAAGGCCTAAGGAAGCTCGTCGAACAGTTGGCTTGCCTTTCAGTCATAGACGTGCGCCGGGGAGCCGTATGTTGGCCACTGCGGTCCTGCTCCCCGCGCCCGGAGGAGGCTGCAGAACAGGTCCAGTAGCAGCGAGTAGGGATCAGTCGCCGCCCTCGCGCGACCACTTCGGTGTCCCATAGATCTATTCAGAGCTGCGCGCATCCCCCATGCACCACACGCAGCCTAGCCACTTCTCTCCACCCTCCTCGGCTCCTGACATTGGTTACTTTTTTTTTTTTTTGAGACCTAGCCTCGCTACAGTTCAGGCTGGCTTTGAACTGACTGTGTAGCACAGGCTGGCCTCGAACTCATTACAATCCTCTTGCCTCGGCCTTCCGAGTGCTGGGATTACAGGCGTGCACCACCGTGCCTGGCTAGTCACATTTTAAGTAACGCAGAAGTTGCCTCAGGAACATCTCTGGCTTGCTCCATCACTTTCGTAATGAAAAGCTGGGCTCCTTCAAGCGGTGTAAACTGCCTTTCCTGGTGCTACGCAAATTGTAGCTTTCAGGAGATCCTTGAGTATTTTAATTGCCCAGAAGTGCTTGTCTATCCAAGCGTCCAGATGACTCTGGTTACCTTGCCCGTTACCGGAACCACAGGGAATGGCGGACAGGAGTGGGTACCAGCAGATGACAGCGCTGGGGCGCAGCAGGCTTAAGGTGTGCCAGTGTGAACTGATCTTTTATTTTCGGTATTGCAGATTGAACCTAGGACCTTTACAATGAGCTATATGCCCATCCCTTTTTAAATTTTTTGAGTCTGGTCTTGCTAAGTCAGTAAATTGCCCAGACTGAGCTCCAACTCGAGATCCTCCAGCCTCGGCCTCCCAGAGTGCTGGGGTTACAGGAGTGCGCAGTCACACGCAGTTTACTCTTTCCTATTTTATAAGTGAGAAAGAAACAAGGGAAGCCCGGAGAAGTTAGGCACTAAAGTCACACAGCATGGAGGTGAGGGGTGTGATAAACTGTTACTGGAGAGCTCTGTTACAATGTACAAGCTCCGTTCTTCCCGTGCCCAGAAGCTTCCCACCAGGATACAGGACAGAATTGGCGTGAGAATCAAGGAGGAAGTGAGGTCAGAAAACCTTTCAGAAAGTCCCTTTCAGTCCTGGCAGTTTGTGATTTTTCGTTGGAGCCAGATGGTAAAAGCATCTTTGGTTGAGAATCTAGTCCCCCCAGAGGCTGGCTCCTGAGTTACTAAGGTGAGAAGCGGGGAGAGAAGCAGTTTTCTGTTTTGCCTTGAGAAAGTGGAGGCTGAAATAAGCTTGTACATCATGAGTAAGGACACTGATAACTTGCATCACAGCTTTTTTAGAAATCGTTTTGCTTTGTTTTCTTCATTTTGGGGTAGATTCAGCATATACACCATTAGAAAAAGTATACTCTAGGTGCGGAAATTTAGGAGCAGACGCAGTTGACTGGATTTTTACACTGGGTCCACCTCCTTTTAGGGAGTCACATTCACCTGTTTGTGTTTTTCTTCACCTTTAGGGGAAGCTGACCCTACTCTGTGATGCCAAGACAGATGGCAGCTTCCTCGTGCACCACTTTCTCTCTTTCTTCCTCAAAGGTATGGGACTCACTGATGCTGTGGAAAAAGAAACCCAACACAAAACAAAAACAAAACCAAAAAATCCACAGCCTGTTTCAGGCAGCAGTGGGTGGACATTTACTAAGTAGAGTTTGGATTTGAATAGCCAAGAAACCGTTATACTAAGTAACAGAGCACTCTCTGCATCTCCTTTCCAACCCTGCAGGGCGGCCTGTGCTCGCGGTGTCCGCTTCCCGCCTTCCCCTCTGCACCTGATGTGCAGGCGCTGATTACCTCACCAAGGTCCTCCTGTGACCACCCACTTAGTGGCTCCTTAGTCCTTGTGCATCTTGAAGTCCCTGGACACTTAACCCCCTTGACACTTCGCCCTGACAGTGTTTTGTTTTTTTTGTTTGTTTGTTTGTTTTTGCTTTTTTTGGCACCGGGAATCGAACTCAGGACCTTTCGCTTGTCAGGCAGGCACTTATAGTGCCTGAGCTATATCCCCAGCTGAGCTATATCCCCAGCCCTAAATTTTATAGTTTTATAGGGCTCAGCCCTAAGTTTTATAGGGCTGAGCTATATCCCCAGCCCTAAATTTTATAGTTCATTTTATTTATTTATTTATTGAGGAATACCAAGCATTGAACTCAGAATTTTGCGCTTGCCAGGTAGCACACTGTGCCACTGAGCTATATCCCCAGCCCCTGCCTTGACAGTGGATGCTTCCTAAAGAATATGGCCACTGCAGTTTACATCTAGAAATAGGTTAAGAAAAGGGAGTCAAAAGCAAAAGGGGGCTGGGCGTGGTGGCGCATGCCTGTAATCCCAGCACTCATTTTTTTGTTTTGTGTTTGATTTTTTTCCAGTACCGAGAATCAAACTCACGACCTCGCGCTTGCCAGGCAGGCGCTGTGCCGCTGAGCTAAATCCCTAGTCCCAATCCCAGCACTCGGGAGGCTGAGGCAGGAGGATCGCTGTGAGTTCGAGGCCAGCCTGGACTACAAAGTGAGCTCAAGGCCAGCCTGAACTGCATAGCGAGACCCTGTCTCAAAAAGACAAAAAAAAAGGGATTCCCTTATCAATGGATTCTCCTTGAGTATGTACTGTGCCAGGATATGAAGTAGACCCACAGTGCTCATGGTTGTAATAACTTACAGCTTTTATTTGTTGTTTATTTTTGTTTTTTAGTTTTGAGACCGGGTTGTGCTAGGGCTAAAAGGAATGGAGAGTTGAAGTGAGTACCAGGAGATGACAGCAGTGGGGCACGGGACCCTCAAGGTGTAGCAGTGCATATTTTATAAGTAAAGCCCAGACAAATTAGGCATTTGCTTAAGGTCACATAGTATGAAAGTGGTAACAGCATGAAAATTGTGATCCTCCTGCCTCAGCCTCCTGAGTGCTGGGATTACAGGCACGAGCCACCACACAGTTTAATCTTACAGCTTTGAAAGTAACATTCACATAGTCATTGTCAGCATAGAAAAAGCAAGAGAATCTATAGATAAATTATTAGAATGAATAAGATTTGGTTGGGTAAGAAGTTTCTTTGTGCTTTATTTTCTGTGAGATATAAAACTTTCTTTTTTTTTTTTGAGACAGTGCCTTGCTGTGTAGTTCAGGGTGGCCCTGAACTCACTATGTACTTCAGGCCAGCATCAAACTTGTGGCAGTCCTCCTGCCTCAGCCTTCAGAGTGCTAGAGCATTATGCCTGGTTCCTATAAAACTATTTTAAAAATGAAGAGTATTTTTGTATACTAGCAGTAAACAGAAACAATAATTGAAACAAAACACACTTTATAATAGAACAGAATTAAGTATCTAGTCATATATCCAGCAAAAGTACATCTCAGAATCAACAAACTAAGGCAAAAGTTTGGTTGCTTTTTAGTATTGGGACTTGAACCCAGGGACTTTGCACTGAGCTAAATCCTCAGCCTTTTTTTATTTTTTATTTTAAGATGGAGTCTAAATTGCTAAGTTGCTCAGGCTGGGTTTGAAATTGTGTACTTCCTTCCTCAGCCTCCAGAGTGCTGGGATCTCAGACCTGCACCAGCACAGCTGGGGGCGTAATTTAAATTTGAGGAAAAGTGTGTCTTGGAAGCAGATTTGATTTGTCAGTCAGCCTGCAGGGCCTCTAGGTGTCAGGTCTGCCTCAGCGCCTTGTTCCTGGAGTTGTGAAGTGCTCCTGCCGGCTGGTTATGAGCAGAGGATACGTTGACGGTCACCATATGTTGTTTTCTAGCTAAGTGTAAAGTCTGCTTTGTGGCACTCGTCCAGTCCTTCAGTCACTACAACATCGTGGGACAGAAGCTGGTAAGTATTTCAGACCTCCACGCGGAGGCCCCAAGTGACAGTGTGTGCCGTGCGCTTGTGAGGGTGGCCTTTCTTGTTTGGGTGGTGGAGGACTTCATGAAGGAAACTCTAAGGAAATTCCAGGGCCCTCATCTACAGGTCTAAGGTAGCATCTCAGCATGGTTTATTAATTGAGTGTGTAGAACCAGGTCTATTGTTTGGGGATATCAATGAATCAAACCTCTCTACTGATTCTGGACCACTTACAGTCGCCTCCTTGTCAGTGTGGGCTTTCTTCGTGGTCTGCTGGCTTGGAGGTCACGGCTTAGTCTCTTGCTAGGTTGGGGGGTTTCCCACTGTCTCTCCCTAGGTCTAGGGCAATGGTGGTGAACCAATGCACATGCATGAACTGGTTTTTCTTCTAAGACGAGATGTTCATATATGAATTATTTTTTCTAAACTAAAACCTCAGTATTCAGGGTTAATTGCAGTGTTGGCACTTTGTGATAAATAATTGGTTTGCAGTTTAGGCACTTGGGCTCGAAAAGGTTCACCATCATTGCTCTAGGGCTTGGAAGAGGCACTATTTGTTGTTGCCTGTCTCTTGCCTCACCTTGCTGGCCTATTAGTTACTTTTCTCATTACTGAGATGAAATACCCGACACCAAAAGTTAAGGGAGGAGAGCTTTGTTTAGCTTACAATTTGTAGAGATTTCAGTCCATAATTGGCTGGCTCCAAGGCAGAGTGGCGCTTGGCAGAAGGCAGCAGAAGACAGCAAAATCAACAAGAGCAAAAGGGGGACGAGCCTCTTTCTATCCCTTATATCATGCGCAGGCTGCCTGCCCTCGGGTGGGTGTAGCACTCACACCCTCAATCCCAGTATTAGACCGTGATTCAGTCACAAACTAGATTCAGCCACCTCTGAAAAGTGTGCCCCCCATAACTGTCAGGCTGTGGGGGGACATCTGGACACAAACCATAACACCCCTCACCTTATCAGACGTGGGCAGACAAGGCTAAGATAGCAGAGACCAGAGAACCTGCTCACCTATCCAGGTACGTGACCTGTGACCAGTGACCAGATATACTTAACTGCCTGAGAATGGGAGTTCAAGGGACATAGGCTTTGGGGGTTTGGGGATGGACGTGCCAGCCTTAGGGAGACAACCGGGGTACCCATCAGTAGTGATTTTTCCCCGGTGCGATAGATCCGACACAGGACCTGGTGCATTCCAGGCAAATATGTGACCACTGGGTTATACTCCCAACCCCAGCAGTGATGTTTAAAATGCCAGTTGTCCTGTTACTGGCATCTTCCCAGCCCTGGTGTTCTGCCTCTTCTGTGTTGGGGACAGACAGGTAGGCGGGGAGAGAAAGGTACATGTTCCTGCACTTCGCAGAGAAGGAGGCTGTTCCAGTGGAGGTCAGGGCCGAGTTTAGGATCATGAGGTACATGTCACATCTCTGACGCCTGCGCATGGCGCTGGCCTGTGTGTTTCTTGGTGACAAAGCTGTGTACGCTCACGTGCACATTGGCCGCTTTTTCTTTCACCCTCGGGCTATCGGCACACTAGGAAGCATGCAGCAGCGGGCGTGTGAGGCACACGCATGGGTGTCGCTGCCGCTAGTGCGGTGCTGCACTACGTAAGTAGGCCAGGCGCGAGCGAGAGCAGAGGGGCCGGTCGGGAGTCCTTGTCTCTGCCAGGGCAGCCGTTGGGCCAGATAATGTTGGGTAGTAGAGGGCCCCGGGGTTGGTGTTGGCAAATGGGCAGTTGAGACCTGGTCTGGATGCATGGGGAGCCTGGAGTTCCTTGTGATCTACTTCTGCACAGGGAGAGCTGTGGGCTGCGTGCAGATGTCAGGTTTCTGAGTGCTGAAATGCAGACCCTGCCCCCTGCCCTTATTCTGGAAATCCGAAGTCAGGCCCAAAGTCTGCCTTCTCTTCTCTTCTCTTCTCTTCTCTTCTCTTCTCTTCTCTTCTCTTCTCTTCTCTTCTCTTCTTTCCTTTTTTCTCTTTCTCTCTTTTCCTTCCTTCCTTCCTTCCTTCCTTCCTTCCTTCCTTCCTTCCTTTCTTTCTTTCTTTCTTTCTTTTTTAGTCTTTTTTAGTCTTTTTGAGACAGGGTCTTGCTATGCAGTTCAAGCTGGCCTTGAGCTCACCTTGTAGCCCAGACTGGCTTTGAACTCACAACGATCTTCCTGCCTTCCTGCCTCAGCCTATCAAATGCTGGAATTACAGGAGTGGCCCTTCAAACCCCACACTATTCTTTTCTTTTTTTTTTTTTTTTTTTTTTTGGTGTTGGAAATTCAGCCAAGGGCCTCCAGCATTCTAGGCGAACACTGTACCACTGAGCTACACTGCAGCCCTCAGCTACTGGTTTTTAATTTACAGTAGTGATGTAAAATTTCATTTTAAAACGCATGTATTTATAAAATTAAGTACACTTAAAATTAGTAATAAATAAAATTTTATTTTAAAACCAGGCATGGTGGCACATGCCTGTTATCTCAGCACTTGGGATGCTGAGGCAGGAGGATCGTTGTGAGTTTGAGGCCTGCTTGGGTTATATAGTGATTTCAACACCAGCCTGAACTGCATAGTGAGACCCTGTCTCAAAAAGACAAAAAATACATAAATAAAAATACCTAAAACACGGGATAATTACTTCTCCAATCATACCCAGTATTGGATAATCATGGAAATGTAGACATAAACAAAAGAAAATGTTGTTTTGGAACTGTGATGTGGAAATGTGACAAGGAAACAGAATGGGGATTGTGGGCTGGGAGCACCCTGGGCGTATGGAAAGTGGACAGGCTCCTTTGAGGGTGTGGGGTGTGGCTTGTACCTCCATGAGCCGCTATCAGCCCCTCTGGCAGGTCCCCCACGAGGCATAACAACTTCCTGTCCTCTGTCACGTTTAGGGCGTCAGCCTGACCACGGCGTGGGAACGTGGGCAGCTCGTGTTCCTGGAGGCTCTCAAGACCTCGTTGGACATCTTCTTCCAGACGCCAGCGGGGCCACACCCCTTGCAGTTTCTCAGGTCAGACACACGCACCTGGTGGTGGGTGTAGGCACGGGTGCTGTGCGACTCCTTGTCGTGTGGGAAGGCAGAACCGGCTGCAGGGCTCCCTGTCGGGGCAGGGGTGCGCAGTGGTCCCCAGAGCTGTGGGAAGCCCATTTGCTGGCAGGGCGGGCGTAATACGCTTTGCTGTTTTCCAGCCCTGGCTCAGAGCCCTAGCACACGCATCTAAGCAGCTAAGCCACGGGCCAGCTGCGTGTTTTGTGCCACCCTCACTTGTGTGCATGTTGTCCCTGGCTGTTCCGCCTTATGGCAGCAGAATGAGTAGCTGAGACAAAGGCTGTGTGACTCACTCTGGAATCCGTATTATCTGGCCCTTTTCTCAAAGGTCTGGGTTGGCTCTCCAGCTCACATTGCATTCTGAGCGTAGCCCCATGCTTTGCTGCTGTTGCTCGTCTACCACGGGGAGTCCATGCGGGAGCCCCCCTCGTGCAGTGGGTGGAAGGTTGTGTTCCCCGGTGCTGTGGTGACCTCTCTGACTCTCCCTCCTTCCTCTGAACACAGGGCCGAGTGTGAGGAGTTGTCCTCGTTGGTGAGGAGGACCCGGGGCGGGGGCTCAGCCCAGGCACTCAAGGCAGTAGCGCCATCAGCCTGGGCCCTGTGCTCTGTCCTCCACCTGTAGTTGGGAAGTGAATACTGGGGGTGTTCACTAGGGGCTACTAGACAGGGCGGCCAGCATGTGTCCAGAGTCACATCCACGCACAGCACTGGATTGCCACTTAACTCTTTTAGCCGCACGTGGCCTCCCCAAAAGGCTTTCTTGGTTGATCTGCCAGGTGCTGTAACTCTTGGATTGAGAGGTTGTATGGAGTCTTTTCTCTTTTCTCTTTCCTTTTGGGGTCTTGCTGTGTTTCCCAGGCTGGCCTTGAGCTTGCCATCCTCCTGTCTCAGCCTTCTGAGTAGCTGGGACCACAGGGCTGCACCACTGTACCTGGCTTATATGGTTCTTTTTTGAGACAAGGTTTCATTACGTAATTCAGGCTGGCCTTGAACTCACTGTGTACCCCAGACTGGGCTTGAACGCACAGTGATCCTCCTGCCTCAGCCTCCGGAGTGCTGGGATTATAGGTGTGTGTGCCACCACGCCTGGCTGTACGGTGTCTCCTAAGGGCCCCAAGACTGTTTGTTCCTGTGTTCTCCCAGCGTTTAGCACAGTACTTGTACCTCGTCACCCTCAGGGAGCACTGGACGCAGAGTAAGCCTGTCCACATGCATGTGCATGCCTTTTCTTTCCACACTGGGAGGACTGTGGTACAGCTCTTTGGTGCCACTTGGTCACAGGTAAACATTAGCAGAGAGACTGAGCTCTGGTGACTTTCGTGCTGTGTCCCCAGGGAGGCCAGCGCTCGGAACCTGCAGCCGCTGTATGCATTTGTGCAGGAGGCCCTGAAGCCTGAGGATGGCGGGGAGGCGACATGGAGGCACCCGGTGCTGCTGGTGGACGACCTCAGCGTGCTGCTGAGCCTGGGCGTGAGGGCTGTGGCAGTGCTGGACTTCATCCACTACTGCAGGGCCACGGTGTGCACGGAGCTGAAGGTACCAGGGGAACTGTGACTTCTGAGAAGCCAGCAGGTCTGGCCTGGCTGGCTCAGTCCCAGTGGTCTTGTTTATTTACTTGGGCTTTGGCCTTTCTCTGGGAGGCACAGAAATCTTCTGGCCCTCCTACTCCACTCTCCCCTGCTCCTGCTGCTAAAAATAAACCCTCAAAGTTAAAGGAGTGACTGAAACAAAAACAAAAACAAAAAAACAAAAAAAAAAAAAA